CACACACACACACACACACACACACACACACACACACACACACACACACACACACACACACACACACACACACACACTGACGAGTGCAACGCAGCATAAATGAAAAGCTGTTTCATGGCCTAATGCGATTGCACCGGCGAGTGCAATACAGCGCACATGAAGAGCTGTTCCAGAAAGTATTCCCATCAAAGGTCAGATTTGCTCCAGCGAGTGCAATACAGTGCACATGAAGAGCTGTTTGATGAGAAAACATCATCGTCATTGATGTAAGCTGGAGGTGGGTTTTTTCACGCTCTTCTATTAATTTTTACTTTCCGATCCTTCTTCTACTTTGTAGCAAGGATAACTGGACAAGGCGATTGGAACATATGTAGGACGCGAAAATTCTTAAATGACATGGAATCGAAGAGAAAACGGGAATAAAATATTTACAAGTATCATTTTTTATATTTACATTGAAGTAGATTGAATATGTATATTTAAATTTATTTATTTTTACAGTTCTGATCAGGATTTACATCTTTATTCGATAACTATGTTGGTGCAGGCCTGCAGAACTGCTGAATGTAAATATTGTAAAAGAAAGTACTTTAAAATATGTAAATATGTTCGTATATAAAATATGTAATAAAAGAACAGTAATAGGTAATGTGTGGTTTATTTCCAAATTTTATGCGCCAAGAATACTTACGATTGCTGTTCGTTGTGCGAATCGAATTTGAATGTGAGTGTAGTGTGTGATGCGGCGGCGATGGAGAACTAATATTCTTAAACGTCGAAATTATGCGTTGTATGTGTGTTCGAAAAAATATGTATTGTATGTCTCTAGAGAAGCTGGTGCTTGTGCTTATAAGTACTTTGTTTTCATTTCATTTACAGCAGTATATAATTTATTTTTGATGTGATACTGATCTATTGGATTAAATGTTTTGACTGTTTCCGTCATACACTTGAAGAAATTGTAAACCATGTGCTGATATCTTGATCCATATCCATCAGATACTTCATTAAAATAGGCGATGGTCTATTGGTGGTGATTTCTTGTTGTATTTCCTCTTTCGCCCATTGTGAATTGGTTGCGCACTGGTATTCGGCTCATTTTCCAGTATCAAGTCCTCCCTATGCCTATTTTCCTCTTCCATCATGGAGTACAATCTTTCACCTCTACCACGAAATTTTGGCTGCTGCCTGGCCGCTTTTTGTTCTTAATCATGCCAGATATTTCCTATAATGTCTTCTTTAAGCTTCCCAGCAACATTTATTACTTGTAAATATGAAGACGAAACATTTAATACATAAAATGAAATTAATTATATATTGTTTTTATGAAGACGCAACGTAAAATTTAGTTTAGTACAACTGATACGTTTTTTATTTTTAGATATTTAGCTATAGGGGATTCTTTTCGTACGATTGCGTTTAATTATCGGTTAGGACATTCAACTGGACGAAGTATAGTCCTAGAAATGCAATCAATGCACTACTGCTAACCGAATATATATTTACACTAACCACATAGCACTGGTTAATTATAGTAGAGGATATGTATAGATTGTGGAATTTTCCAAATAGGGGCCCTGGATGGGACTCTTACAAATAGCAATTTTCTATATTCTAATTACGAAAAATCGTTTTCTGCGGTGCTGTTAGCATTCGTAGATGCTAATAGCAAGTTTGTTATCGTAGGTATGAGATCTTACGGCAAAAATAGTGATGAGGGAATTTTTGAAAACTTCGCGATTGGTAAACATTTGGAGAATCGGAAATCAAATGTTCCTGGTGATTGCATATTGCTAGAAACAAACATATAAAGGTGCCATTCGTCATCTTGGGTGATGAAGCATTTAAGAAAAAGTATTTAATGCGGCCATACCCAGACTCACAAATCGTTGGAGTTATAGAGAAACGAATATTCAATTATCGATTGAGCCGAGGAAGACGGCACATAACCAGACATTTAGAATCTATCACAGGAATCTAAAAATAGAACATAATGCTGCGAGTAAAGTTTTTATGGCGACATGCATTGTGCACAATATCATAAGAAATTGTGTGATATTCAGTAACCCAGAAGACTTTGGGAAACAGCTATAGATAATTTACCAGCAATTGGTGGAAGTTCCAACATTGATTCGTTCGATGCTACAGATAAATTCAATAATTTTTTTAATTCGCCGGCAGAGGGGGGGGGGGCTCAGTACCATGCAAATGAATAGAATTTTGTAAAAACTGATATTAATGTCTGCATTCTTTTATACTTAATTGTATAAATGTTCTTGTATAGTTAATGTTAAACCATTAATGAAGAATGTTATTTATTATTAACGCATTAAATTATATATTACAATGTGAACCTGTAACTTTACTTATCAGAACCGCCGACGGTTCTATCTATTTCACTCTACGCGTTTCTCTTATAATTTGCGTCGTTGCATGATGACGACTGCAAGTCGTACAAGTCTCGCTTGTTCTTCACCAGTTCGATGAGAAGTTCATCTGAAAATTCAACAGACATATCTTTTATGAACTGCTCTAATTGCTTCCACTTATTGTGTATACATTTTTTCATTCGGCAATGTTTTGAAATTAGCTCGGTAAAGGTTTTCTCACAATTTTTGGTCGAAAGTCATGGGAAACTGCGATTTTCGCTAAATTTAAGGATAGCTCTCTCTCTCTCTCTATCGTTGCCGCTGTCCCTCCTTTTCTCGTTCTCCGTTCGTTCCGCTGCTCTTTATCTCTATCTTTCGGCGTACCTTCTGGTCGTTTTGTTATAGTAGGCACGCTGCACGCTCGATCCTCGCTCACAATACGCTCTCTCACGCGACACCTGATTCACACGTATTCGTGTAAGCGCGCGCACACGATAGAGGACGCAGAAGAACGCGCAAACACCTTGCGTAACGCACGGTCGCGACTGTCGCGCCTACACGGTGTCGAGCACAAGCGTAGGTAGACGAGTTGTCCAACGGACTATCCGATTCGAGAATCCGCCCTTCGCACGCTCTGCTTTCGGAGCTAGACTTACACCTTACCACGCAAACCGAAGACAATTGGACGATCCGTCTACCTAATGTACTGGATAGGGCTTTCTTTATTAACCTCTTGTCAGTCCCGCAAATTTGGTGAAATCAGTTCAAAAAATGACTAACTGGCTTTTTTAATAAATTTGGTTGTGTTATTCTGATGTAAAAGAAGTGGATTCAAGTAGTAAATGATTTTCTTTTATTTATAAAAATGACAAAATTATTTATAAATATGTTCAATTCAATACATATCAATTTTTTTAAACCTGTATGTTTATGCATGAGTCCATGACTTTCACGGGCTAGACTGGTAAGGAGTTAAAAAATGTCTTGCCGAAGTGGTATTCGATGTACAAACCGCTAATATTATTTGTTGGCTGTAATAAATACGGACAAATTGTCGTTCGTTTAACTTATTCTGAGTGTAATGTCTACCGTGACTTAAACCTCTTCGAAATCAATGGCGTTATTAGATGTTAATTTAGAAACTATCGAGTTCACCGTCCATAACCTACGACATGTCCAATAGGTCGTTATAAAGTAAGGGACTGATTAGTACTCGGAACATGATACTCCATTGTTACGATAGCGAACGAAAACGTGGAAAAATCCACGTAAACGACGAATCGAAAGTGTCAAAACAAAAGTGTTTCTATGATAATCGTGACATCTCTTAATTTACTTGTGTACTGGATTCATATGTATTATGATTCGAATGGCCTTGCGTTCGGACATTCGTGCGATGTATGTATGTGTGCGCGCCTAGCAGCTATATCATATGCTCCCGTGTGCTCAACCTTCTTGTTGTACAGACTATCGAAGTATAAACACGTGTCAGTAAAGAAAATATTATGTAAGCAAGTATATTTTTCACAACGCAGATAATTTAACCAACCATCTAACAGGAAGAAACGTAATTCTGCCTACGGCGTAGGATATTATGCGGATTCGAAGAAGATTAAATTTTACACGCTGCAAACATCGGCCAAGGAGTTCATAAAATTTCAAGACCGCCAAGCTCGGATACGGTTAATTGTCGATTAAAACAATAATATGGTATATCGCTAATTACGAGTTGACCGAACGAGCGACAGTGTTGGTCAATGACGGCATTAATCCGCCTTTGACCAACTCCGGTCCCAATTTATACTGAAGAGTCGTAGGGATCAGCGGCGGCGGACGTCGATGACAATCGATGGGACCAATAAAAGTCACTGCGTCATTAATTTCCGTGCTCGTATCTAACTAATATGTCTCCTATGGAAACCAAAAATTTGCTCAACCACTTGACGAGGAAGCGACACAGGTGTATTGCACCGGTGTTTGCCCGTCATAAAATCACTCGTAAACGATCCTGCGACGATTATTTTCCTTGTTGGGAGTTTGGGAAAGGATCTGTGAGAAATACCTTGGGTCATCTACCGTCTTCACGAAAATTACTGGAAAGATAATGAATCACGACCGGCATGGGAGCACTCGATATTTCGCAGCTGCAGGTGGAAACAATTTCACCGATGCGTCTGTTCAGTTTAGTTTACAATCTAATCTCGCAATATCAGCAATTGTAAACTCTATGGCGCCGATTTTATGGCGAGTCGTTGCAAGCAGATAAGTAGCATTCGATGTGTAAATTTTCGTTGATTCGCCGAACGCTGCGTTTTTAAAACAGAGTTGTTCACTTTTCCTGCTCACGCAAGTCGATTGTACAAGGCGTCACGAAACTTATGGAGAACACGATACGAGCGAGAAGGCGACCGTGGAGCAAGTGAATTTCTAAAACGAATAACGACTCCCCCGAAGAGGTAGAGCTTCCTCGAAGCCGTAGGACTGAGTAAGATGCGCCGCGGAGAGACCAAGAAAAAGGATCGTATGAATCCATATACATAGGTATATTAGTTTGGAGAGGTCTACAGCGACTAGAATAGACGCTTCAATATCGAAGTGTATAGTTCAGGAGTGAAAAATTTAGATTCCCAAAAGACTGAGCTCCGTCACTCTGGCTGTGGAAATGTCCGCTTTTTGATTATTGTAGAGATATTTGCAATATTATGGCCAGCACAGCGTCAATCTCGCGATCATGACGTCATAAGATGGCCGACGTTGATAGTTTTCGTAAATATCGAGAAATTTACAGTTCTGTTAGGATCAAGCCATTCGATTTGGATCCACAGAATGAACGGAACGGGTGGGTTCTAAACCTAACCAAGAAAAAGGGTCGATCAAAAATTACGAATCCAGTATTCGTTTGATTAATGTAACAAGATCGGGCAAATGTACTTTCTTTTACTTGGAAATGTAGCTGGAACCGCTGATTCATACAATATCCACAATTCGTGGTGTACAAATTAACGCGAATGTCGTTTCGCTCGACGAAATCATGCGTGCGCGAGCGAGATCGAGGACGCGGACGGCTTGAAACGCTTGAACGGCTTGAAATTGAACACGGCCGTTCCAGAACAAAGATTAGCCGACCTAAAAAGAATAATAGTTAAAAGCAAGAGAATTACTAAAAGCAGATTAAACGAAATTAAATCAGAAATTGTAACAGAATTAGGGAACGAACATCAACCAACAATAAGTACAGAAGAAGAGAAACAGGGAAACACAGCACAAATACATTAAACTACAACACAAGACATACAACAGATATAGCAAGAGATAAACATAGTGAAATACAACACAATATAAAACAATTGCAAGTCGTCATTAGTAGCATATTACAAAGAAATTTAATAGAATAGCTACACACAAATCGAAGTCACAGGCCGTACATACCTATGCTTCGTCTACACAACAGGGAAAACAGATTATAATAATAACAAATATAGTAATACATATCAATAGTAACACATATCAATGAAAAGGAAAATGAAAATAATGATGTAACATACATACACACACTAATATAATGTGCAGCAAAAAGTATAACATAGATAAACAATGATATACAGTAATGCAAGGAACAGTGAAACAAAGAACAGTAATGGACATGAAAGTAGAAAAACGCAAGACACAAAACATAAAAAGAACCAGAGAAAACATATAGAACCGCGAAACGAGAACAATAAAACAATCTGGCAAAACAGAATAGAAAACAAAATTAATCAGCTGGGAACAAACATAGGAAAACTAATCCAATATGAGAAAGAAAACAGATCGAATAAAATTGTCAGATACGCACAACAAGTATATTGAACAACTAAAGATCAGTTGAATATACATTCGACACACTTAAACACAAACTAACAGTATACGCAGCACGACTACGCAGATATAAAACATCATATGAAAGAAAATCTCAAATCAAATTGTTCAAAGCCAATGAAAAGACCTTCTACTAAAAAATAAATGAGACGACTAACCCTATTACAATATCAACACTACCAACACAGCAAGAAATAGGAGACAATTGGACAGAAATATGGACACAAGCAAAATACTATAAAGAAGACACAAAATGGGTAAGACAAGAAGAAGAAAGATAACAAAACATAGAATAGCAAACAGACTACAAAGTACTAACAGCGAACATAAAGAAAGCACACAATTGGAAAGCACCCGGAATTGAACACATACATAATTTCTGGCACAAAAAAAACGAAGAAACACAAAACCCTGTAAACCACCGACCAATAACATGCCTATCAACACTATACATAATCACAACATCTATCGTAGCAAATAAAATACAGAACCTTATGACTCAATTTAAACTTTTAACCGAAGAACAAAAAGGCTGTAGAAAATACAGTCAAGACGGTAAAGAACAATTAATAATAGACAGCATAATTCTCAAACAAACTAAAGAAAGACAAAGAAACTTGTCAATATACTACATAGGTTACAAAAAAGCATTCGACTCTATACCCCACACATGGTTATTAAAAGTACTACAAATATATAAAATAGACCCAACCATATGTAAACTACATGAACATCTAACAACAAAATGACGAACAAAGATATACCTGAGAACCAATAATACAGACATAAAAACAAAAACTATAAAAATAAAAAAAAAAGAAATAAAAAAAACAGAGATATATTCCAGGGTGACTCACTCAGCTTTATATATTAAATCCACTCGAACAAACACTGAAGAATACAATATACGGTTTCAACATAAGATCGCAGACAGAAGCATTAAACACA